TGCATTTTAAATTGGTTTGCTGACTTTTGTGGAAACGGTAGTGGCTGTCTGTCCGTAGTAAAGGCCAAACAATGGACGGTTAAGCTAGGGAAAATTATACGTCTCGTTATTTAAGAAATGTGAGGAAGAAAATAATTTGGGCGTTCTTTCAACACACGCTGCATAACAGCAAGTTCGGCGTAGTAAACTTATACTGAAGTATCTGTGTCAAACTGTGACATCCAATTAGAAAAAGAAGGATATTGAAGCCGGCGGGAGCCTTGAGTACTACCGCGTAAGAAAAGTCCATATTGTGAAGATAAAAAATTCCACATTGATGCAGTGCACTAATTGATTATTTGTTTTGCCTTATTCTCGTATGCGTGTTTTAATTTTTGTTATGGACATTTGGAGTTAATATATGTTGGCTAGTAGATGCAGATTAGGCGGGGAGGCAGGCTTCCAAGAACATCTAGCGGCATTCCTCAAGAGGCCTCACATTAAGTCAGGCCTCCAACTATTAGGATGAGGGACTTGTGATTGAACAGACGCAATAGACACGTGACGTGGAGCCAGGAGTTGTAAAGCGCGAGAAGGCACCGGAGTAGAGGGAGTTTTCAGCGCTCTATTGGACAGATGGTTGTTGCCACATACGGACCGTGAAACGTCTGAAACCAAACGGCCCTGCGGACGATTCCCCACGTGCCCAGCCGGGAGGACAGGGAGCGTGTGAGTAGGAAATATTTTTCATGTATTCCCTGGGTGGATCTCGTCAAATGGGAAGACACGACGCTATCAAAAGACGTACGGAGCTATCCTTGGGCGGCCACGTTCATCCCTTTATCTCATCACCGCACTTATCATTGTTTCTTAGCAAAACCACATTTTACCATCAAGACAATGCAACGTTTCATAGAGCTTTACAGTGTACGTGATGCCGTGGTTCGAAGAGGCGCCAGGATTGGGATTTACCCTAGTCACAACTCCCCCAATTTAAAGCCAATCGATACTCTGTAGGACCATCTCGATTGAGCCATAGGATGCAACAACAAGGAACCTAGCGAAACTGGCCACGACACTAGAGTCGCTCATAGCTCGCCATTCCTGTTGCTTACTGAGTTCGTCGGGTTTCCTACGAGTCACAGACCCTACAGTTTGGGGAGTTTCCTGCTTTTTAAATTACGGGGATTTTCCCGTGGTTGTTGTCCTTTCCGGCGAGCCGGCCGCCCACCCGCTCGCTTCTCGGCGCCACACTATGACGCCAGCAGTCGCCATTCAGCATCTAATTTGACACTCTACATTAAATGTCTCGGCGGCCGATCAAAGCACTGCAAAGAGGTTATTCAGGGGATTTTGATGGGTAGTCACATGAATTGACCAGGACTGTGTAGTATGCCTCCTGTGAAAATTAAATAATTTATTAGGTACTAACTTATGAGATAGATTATAATTCGTCTCATGTCATGCTGACAATGTGATGTGAAAATAATTTACATTAAATTGTATGCGATTTGTTTGTAGTTAGTTGATGATTACTGACACCTGCTTTAAAGGACGATTAAAAAACGTTGGAGTGGTATAGTATATGCATCTTGTATCTCAGAAAATATGTAATGACCACCATTGAGTAACTCATTTTTACAGAAAAACACTTATTATGAAACAGAAAATAATGGTGAAATTGTTATCTTCATAAAGAGAAAGGGAAAACACGGTATTGGCGTTTAATAATTTCGTCGTTATAATTCTTTTTTGATAATCTAAATATTGAGACCTATAGCGAAGTTTTCCAAGAATATTATGCCAAATCCCGGCGGTGGGAATGAACATGGGACGAAAATATACCACAGCCAGTGAATGAAGGCAAACTAAAATCTGAAAAGAATTCTGAACTCATTGCACCAAAAGAACTTAATTTTCTCTTCAATTTAGTGTGCAGAGCAGATGTGAAATTTTGCAGAACTGTTACATGCTGTCACATGCAAACCCAATCGTGATAAAATAAGGTCGTCTACCGAAGAGAATTCACTAAGGCGTGAAAATTTGTCATTTGTGATTTCAAAATTATGAAGGGATTTGTTAATTAAAAAGCATCTAAATATTCAATGTATATGCAACCCGCAGCATGTCGAATTTTTGAATATGTATCCGTTGAATAAACTCCTAAAGAAATTGTTTTAGGACCTTAAAATTCGAAAATTCTGAGGGACCAAAGGCCTCAAAGAACCGTTTGTTTGTGCCTTAATCTACAGGATTACTGTGGCGTCGTTAACACACGAGGCGCAGAAACCGTTATTGCCGGTGAAAGTGCGCTGCGGGAGGAAGGGGTTGAGCCTGAACTTCCCCGGATTTGCGCCTCTGGACCAGTTGACACCAGACAGATCGTGGCAGAGCCAAAAATAACCTTAGGCTTGTAAAACTCCTAGAAGCTGAGATAGCGGAGCCTCGCTTGCCGACAGACAGGCGCAGCCTACCTGGAATTCTGTCGGTGTGTGGGGAGTGTAGCCCCTCCTAAGATGCTAGCCAGCGAGCCTCGCTTACGACAAAGCAAGGCGAGCCTACCTGAGGAAACTTGGTGTGGTGGCGGGCGTAGGCCCCAACTATTTAACAGCGGCGCCATCTGCGCGCCGCGTTCTCCATTCAGTTTGCATCGGAAGCAGCGTAGTACGCGGTAGGTTACAAGAGCGTAGGGAGTGTGGCGCAGATGTCCGGAGCTGTAAGGGCCAGACGATATCTCGGGTGCTTTCTACACGCGTCGCCAGACGGCGACTTGTTTAAATTTTGACATTCAGGCCACGCTGCAGGTAATTGTCGACAGCTTCGCATCGACGCGTGCTTTTGTTCTTGCGGTAAAGCCAGGGTACTGGAAGGATAGAGGTTGCCGGAGTGTGTTAAATTTAGCAATTTATTTAACTAGTCTGTAACTTTTTCAAGTATACTATTTTTATATTTGTTTATTTGAATTTATTGCTTATTTCCCCTACATCACAGATTACGATATTCGAAACATTTTATTACATTTCTTTCTGTCCAAACACTCACTGATTTATCCAAGACCAATGTATATTACGTCGGCGCTGGGTGAGCGATCTTTGTTTGTTGACGACACCTCAGAAGGCTTAGATTGTCTCAACTTCTATGTGTTGCCTTTCTGAGTACACCGTGGTTTGCCGCCGACTGCATGATTGTTTATTTGCTATTATCATTAATTCAAAGATTATGCCAAATAAACCTGAAAATGTTCTGCGCAGCAACAAGGAAATATTTAATTAGTGGCTTGATGGCCGATAATATTCTTTTTATGTAATAGTGCGACCGTTCATGTTATCAACATGTAAGGAGTTGATATTTCCTCGTTTCTTGTGAAAAGGTTTTGTGTTACCAGTGAGTTTACAAGAATTTGTAAAAAATCAGTTACATTACAGAATCTGAACGCATTTTGAAAGATGGAAACTAAAAAAACCTTGATAGTTCTAAAACGATTTTAAAAAATTTGTACTTGGCATTAAAACTCCCAGTTTGATTTTTTAAATTTAATGGTTTTTTTTTTAAAAAATTTTTTTTTTTTTTTTTTTTTTTTTTTTTTTTTTTTTTTTTTTTTTTTTTTTTTTTTTTTAAAAATTAAAGTTTTTTTCCCCCAATTCTTTTCTGCGGGAAACTATACTGAAGTATCTGTTCAAACTGTGACAT